CTACAGGGTCATAACTGACTTGATGGCACCTAACAACAATTGCACGTCAGACGTAAAATGACAAGGCCCACATGCATTTCCATCAAGCAAAAGGTCAGGATATAAACCATCTGTTCATGGGAAGACTGTGTCAAGATGTAGTCAATTTGTTCCCAGAAAACTGTGTTCATGACTGCATTCATGTATAACTGAACCAATTGGTGTGACTGACTTAAGTGGTAACTCACTCCCTCCTAGTCCAGTGGGTAACTTCAAAGAACTTCACACTGAAGGTCATCTTATCTATAATCAATCATTAACTCTAAATTTCCTTTGTTCTCTATGTATATATTTGAACAATGCTGTCCTGCTTTGTATTTTTACGTAGAGCTGCTCAGCTCAAGCTTTATTATTCCTCAATAAAGCTCTAACAGAGTAAAAAATTTTCATCTTTGACATTTCTGGTGTCAAAAGTGGGAATTTGACAATATGTTATCTTTGACAATCGTCAGATCATCTGGATAAGGACTCAGTTCCTGTGAAGCCACTTTGGACACTGCTTCTGCAAATTCTCAGGAATCACTTTAAATAAAAAAGTCTTGGACGTTGAACTAGGAAAAGTGTTTGTCAGGATTATATTCAATCTTTTTCTATCTATATGCTTAACAAATAAAGCCAGATGCTGGACTATATGAAGATAATTATGGCATCAGGACTGGAAGAAGGCTCATCAACACCTTTTGATATGTAGATGACACAAACTTTTGCTTAAAGCAAACATAATTGTAGGAGTTACTGATGAAGGTCAGAGATGGTAGCTTTTATTATGGATTATACCTCAACATAAAGAAAACAAAAATCTTCAGAAGTGGACCAGTAAGAAACATCAGGATAACCAGTGAAGACATTGAAGTTTTAAAGAATTTCATTTTACTTGGATCCACCAGCAACAAACATGGAAGTAGTAGTCCAGAAATCAAATGATGTACTGTGTTGAACAAATCTGCAAATGTCTTCTTTACAGTATAAACAAGCAAAGATGTCACTTTAAGGACTATGATATGCCTAACCCAAGCCATGATATTTTCAATGACTTCATATGCACGTGAAAGTTGGACAATAAATATGAACTGATGCCTTTGAATTATGATGTAGGTGAGAAATATTGACTACACCTTGTGTGCCTCAGTACAATAAGTATTGGACTTTGAACCATAAGGTCTTCCTTTTACACATGTATTATCCTATCACTGGCAGTGTTATACTTCAGGATAGATGTTGAAATATTATTTTTGATGATGAAAATGACACCATTTCTATTCAATTTGTCTTCCCTGGCATAATAAACCATGTAATTGTTCAATTTAAAATAAAATAAAAAAAGTCTCTTGAATCCAAGCTCAACATCCTAGAGTTGATAGCTCTGATTTTTATGGTAGATTTGTTTTGATTCTTACAAGTAAATGTTAATGCACTGGACTGCAAGGTCAGTTTGAACTGCAAGGTCAGTGGTTCAAGCTCACCAGCCACTCCTATGGGTTGGAACTGCCTCGATGGCACGTAACAACAACAACAACAACAGTTATTATAAAATATGAATATATAAAGTACTCCTACACACTACAAAAATAATTATGGTCTCTTATTATGCATGTTTTTATTTGTCTGGCATAACCTCACTGGAAACAGTTTGAAAATCTTTGGCTGCTGTGCAGTTCTTTTGATTTCTCTAAGTTAATTTTTGACGTTAGTAGGTTAGAGAATGAGGCTCCTGGATTACACAGTCCCAGTGGGATGCATCTTTTGATTGCTATGTTGAGGCCTCCAAAAGAAATTAAGACAGTAAAATTGCTTCCTTGAAGAACACTGTCTCTAAATTAGTTGAGAAAAATAATTACAATTTCAAATTTCAACTACTACCCTATGTCTCCATACTAGCTAACATCTCTGTATAGCCTTCATTTCCTTCCTGTTACTCTGATTAACACTTTATCTACATATATTCTTCTTTTTAAAAAACCAGCAAATAAACCCTTTCCTAAAATGTCTTAATTCACTCCAGCTATGATGCCAAAAAGTTCCCTCATATAATTTTTATGCAATTGTGAAAGATTGTCTTACAAATTTTCTTCAGATTTAAAAATCTTTATTGAAGTCTTTCTTCCTGCCTGACTTATATCAACTTGTTCTCATGATTATGGACCAGGGGAAGCCAAATTATGGCAAGAATAGGCAAAATGTAAAGACCACCCCTAAAGACAATTTAGTCTTAAATAGTCATAAAACAGCTACCAACTGTTGGGAGACTCTTGGGTCATGAGTGAAACAAATGCTAGGGCTATCCCAAAGGCCTTTCCTCCACTAATTGATTGCACTAAAATTCACTCTTGTAAATAAAGATGAAAGTATGTTTATAACTATGAGATTAGCCTGCTCCAGAAGTTTTCCAAATAACACTGGCCTCCCTTTGAGCACACCTGGTTCCACCAGCACTTTCAATATTGTTTTCATATCCAGTCTTACACATGAGATCCCATCTTAATTAAGAAGCATCAATCAGACTGGGAAACAGCTCCAGTTGTTGAGATAGCTTTCAAACTTGTCCAGACTCTTAAAACCAAAAGGACACTTAAACCTAATAAACTAATGATCCTTCATTTGCAACAATTACAGTCTCCCAGTAAAAAGAAAATTGTTAAATCTTCCAATGGTATAAAGGTGGGTATTTGTCACTATTGTAAAAAACCTAGTCACTGGAAAACAGACACAATGTTAAAAAATAAACAAAAGCCTCCCTTAAAAGTCCCTACAATCTGATTTGAAATGAAGGAACTCTGGGGACAAAACAGGAGATTTTCCTTTGGTGGTTCCTAACCCACAAGAAAAAACTACTTCTTAATGGAGAAACTTGCGAATTTTTAATTAACAATGCAACTATTCTGTCTGCTATTTACCTCACCTGTTTACCAAAGCCCCTGCCCCATACTACTGAAACCTCATAAATAGTGGGCTTACTATCAGGAAGAAATGTTGATTCATTCCCAACCTGTTCCAATATCTGCTAATCCTATTTACACCCTTCTTTGATCAGTTCTGATACCTAGGTCAATCTATTGGGGGGGAAAATCTTTTATACAAATGAAATTGTCATTTATAATTTAATGAAAAGGGCAAATATTACTGAGTCTTCCTGGTATCTCTAAGGCAACTTAGGATACAGGCTCTGAGTTAGAAAATATTCAGTAAGAAAACCATTGCTATATGTTACATGCTTAACACGTGCCCTCAAAATTTAACTCAACCTAGTCTTCTCCATTAAGTCTTCTCTGGTAGCATAGTAGTTATGAGTTGGGCTGCTAACCTCAAGGTCACCAATTCGAAACTACCAGCCATTGAGGTGTTCTGCTCCCATAAAGATTTGCAGCCTCGGAAACCCTGTGCAGGGTCACTATGAGTCGCAGCCGACTCCATGACACACCACCACAGTCTTTTCCCTTATGCCATCTTTTCCCTTATTCCTCAAACCTTATGGGCTATCAAGTCCACAGACGTAGGTCAAGTTTTGTCAGCTGAGCAGATGAAAACTGAAATAGACTTAACTAAAGCTCTGCCATAAATTACCCAGTATCCACTCAAATGAGAAGCAATATGAGGACTAGCTTCCATTATAGAAGATTTCTGTTTTTAAAGTTTAAATGTTCCTTGTGTTGTTGTTTTACATGCCCTAAAGTCAGTTCTGACTCATAGGTACCCTTTATAGGGTTTCTGAGAGTTTTTAAATATTTACGGGAGCAAAGCCTCTTCTTTCTCCCAAGGAGCAACTTGAGGACTCAAAGTGCCAACCTTGTGGTTTGCAGTCTAGTTTGAGCTTATTCTTTGGAGTTACCACACTTCCCTGACATATATTGCTGCTGTTGTTGTTGTTGTTAAGTGCCCTCGAGTCGGTTCCGACCCATAGCAACCTTAAACAGGGTTTGTTGTTGTTATGTGCCATGGAGTCGGTTCCGACTCATAGCGACCCTGTACAGGGTTTCTGAGGCTGTAAATCTTTATGGGAGTAGAAAGCCTCATCTTTCTCTCGCAGAGCAGCTGGTAGTTTCAAACTGCCGACCTTGCAATTGGCAGCTTGATTCGTAACCACTATGCTACCAGAGATCCTATTGCTGCTGTTAAGTGCCATTAAATCAGTTCCAACTCATAATAACCCTTTAAAGGATTCCAAAAGCAGATGATGAGTCTGAACCACCATCCTGGGGTTCAAACCAACCTTGCAGTACAATGCTAATCCTACAGTACCATATCAAGACTAAAAGAAATCACTGAAGTATATGACTGTAGATTTTAGCACAGTTGCTAAATCACAATGTGTGTGATAAAAAGAGCATATAAAAGACAACTATTCTTAATAGCTATTTTATACTAACAAAAAAAGTGTGGCTGCATGAATATACCAGTATGTGAATACTATTATTTTAGGGACAGTTTGGTATAATTTTTATATCACTGCCACCAAGCAGCAACTTTACTGATCTTACCTGTATAACATAAAAAATAACATCCTGAAAATAAAAATTTTACAATGATAGCACTAACATTTAACAATTGATACTTCCTAAATTATGCTTTACTACTGAGAAGTAACAGCAATATGATTTGTTTTGTTTTGTTTTGCCTGAATGGCGAATGGTGAGAATGAAGTCACATTATGTCAAGGTATATATTTCATACACGGTATGAAACTCATAATTTAGAAAACTTGAAGAACATATTGAATCTTACTTAAAGTTCAGGGGAAATAAGATTTCAATGGAAAACAATGTGCTTTAATGAAAGGACTGCGAATGCTGCATTTTCACATTCCTAAAATATTTCCTATCCAAATTAGCAATAGAAGCTCATGATACCAGTTTTTTGGGGAGTGAAATAACAAACCATATCTAATTTTCCATTGTCTCTCTTAAAAACAGAAAGATTTTACGGTTTATTAATCCTCTGGTGAAAAATCCACAAACATAGAATCTTTATTCCTTCTTTTTGCCAGCACTAACTTTGGCCTTTGTAATCCCCCCAACTTTCTTCATTCGGTTTTTGCGTTCCTTGAGCTGTTTTCTCAAGGTTTTCTTCTTCTCGTACAGGCCATGTCTTGCAAGTTTGTGTTTGGGTTCATTTTTCTTTGCATAATCCAAGGAATTGTAAATCATGCCAAAGCCAGTAGTCTTGCCACCACCAAAATGGGTTCTGAGTCCAAACATAAAAATGACATCTGGTATTGTCTTAAACATTTTGGCAAGTTTTCTCCAAATTTCTGTCTTAGTTACTGTTGCCTTCTTGGGGTGAAAGACATCAATGACCATTTGCTTCCGATGAAGTAGTTGGTTGGTCTTGAACTTCCTGGTCCCGATAATTACCGTGTGATTTATGATGGTGGCAGACGCTTAGGCAGCCGTGGAGGAAAAGAAGGCCACTTCCACTCCACCAATCATATCAACGCACACACCCCACTGTCTCTTGTAATACTCCTGTTCTTCTAGTTAAAAGACCAAATGATAGGGGCTAGAGATAGTTCAAGATTTGCATGCAATCAACTGCATTGTTATTCCTAGATTCCCAGTAGTCTCTAATTCTCACTTATTATTTTCTAATGTACCTTCAGAAGCAACTTACTTATGGTTATGGATTTTTACAGGACCATTTCTCAGAATTACTGTGCATTGTGAGTTAATATTTGTTTGTTTTTAGCTAGGAAACTCAACAAATTACCTGGATTGCAATACCGAGCTTCCCACCTACTTTTCTCAGTTTCTGCATGTGGATTTGCAGCCTTTATGGTTTACAAACAAATGCACATTGCTGCTATACATTGATGATTTGCAGGTTTGCTCACCCTCCCAACAGCCCTGCCTTTAATAGCTAGCTTCTTGTGAGTGTAAGGATTACAAAGAATGATTACAATAAGTTTAGCCTTCTGTTAAATATTTGGGCCACCTAATTTCTGCAGAAGTCATCTCTATTAATCCCAAATGGAACAATGATATTCCTGTGTTTTCTGCATCTGTAAAAAAGAAACAGCTAAGGGGTTTCTAAGCTCTGTGGCAATTGCAGAACCTGGATTCACAATTTTTATTTATTGTTGGTTTAACTTTTTTTTTTTAAGTTTTTATTGTGAATTATGTGATAGTTTACATGGGAGCACATTAGCTTTACATTCATCTTACTGTATATCATTTCATTGCCATGGTTACAGTCTCCTCCATGCATCATCAAACAACCAAAGGATATACACTGCAAGCCTGCCCCTTGGTCATCAGCACACAGCTCCTCTCCCTTTTTAGGTCTAGAGACCCCCAGCCACTCTATCACTCCACGTCATCATCTCTGTCTCCATATCTGGTATCACTGTTTCTCTGGGTAGGGTCCTGTACTCCACTCTTCTCCCTTGATGGTCCAGGGACCTCCGCTCTTGGAATGCAAAGTCAATTACTCCCTTCCTTTTGCTACAACACGTCTACCTTTACATTTCCAACCCTCACAGTCAGTCCTGATAACAATTATTCACTATTGTATTACAAGAGTCCTATCCCCAGCTCCTTTCATCAGCCCCACCCAGACAGATTGGATACAACTCAGTGGAGATTCTACCTTCCTCTGTGCCCTCTAGATCTAGGCTCCCTCTTGAAAGCTTACAAGCCAGTCACTTCTGCCTTTGTAGCCCCCCATTTTGGGTAGCCAATATCCAAGTTGCCCATCCCTGTCTACTCTGTGTACCAAGGAGGTGGGAATGATCCTTGCTATAAAGGGTTGTTTCTTCTTTTGAGCTACTGCATCCATAGGTGTAGGTCAAGTTCATCAAATTGTATCAGATTACTCTTTTTTTTTTCCTCTTCTTTTTTCTTCTAGTTGAGTTCTGATCATCCAGCCATTGATGTTGGCTTAACTTTTATATAAGTATTTAAAACCTGTGATCCAGATTCATTCCAAATTTCACCAGACTATTGAGAGACCATAATTCAATCAAAAAGGGCCTTAATGAAAACACTTATTCTACATGTTCTCATTGGTGGTGGTTATGTGCCACAAAGTCAGTTCTGACTCATAGCCATCCTGTGTAGGATTTCCTTATGGGAGCAGAAAACCTCATCTTTCTCGCTCAGAATGGCTGGCAGTTTCAAACATCTGACTTTCAGGTTAGCATCCCAACTCATAACTACTATGCTACCAGAGATATGTTCCTCATTACCACATAGATTTACCCTTCGTCAGACATGAATGATCTGGAAACACTTCAGGTGTATTAACTTAAAAACAGGAATGACAACAAACACCTACAGATTATTATAATCAACAGCTTGAGCCAGAAGCCAGGGAAACCCTCATTGTCTTAGGGCTGTGACTGTCAAGTGATTGGAAATCACAGTAGATGTGGTTCTGGGAAACTCTGTAGTTATTTGTACCCTATATTGTATCTGCCTTACCTAAATCTGCATTGACATAACTTTCTGCAAGCAGGCACAACTTCATAGATGAAGTTCTTCTCCTGGCTGCATCTGACAAGAGACCTCATACCATGGCCTGAAAATCTAGCTATTCTTCTCCCTACAACTATTGAGACCATCAATCCTACACATGATTGTCTAACCTTCACCATGCAACTTTTAACCACTCAAAAAACTTACACTTATTCTCAAATATGGCCTTGTTCATTAAGATGTTTCCTACAGAATCTACTCACCATGAAGATGAGGCCTTTTATCTCAGTAAAGTGAAGAATATAGTTTTTGTTTGAACAAAACTCAACAAAATAGAAAAAGTCCTTGGAAAACTCCATTTTGGGTGATGAGCCCACCCTAATTGAGGTTTGAAGCCCTGATGTGGTGCTGTAGGAAATGTGCTGGACTGCTAACTGCAAGGTTGGCAGTTCACACCCACAAGCAACTCCTTGGAAATCCTATACAGGGTCACCATGAATCAGAACGGACTCCACTATGAATCAGAACTGATGGCACTTAATAACAACAGTGGAGGATTAATCAAAAGGGGTAAATGTAAATGTTTTAAACTGGGGGCATTTGTGTCAAATGTAGGAATGATGGGGTCACATGCATTCCCTGGGAACAAAAGATTAGGATGTAAATCATTTATTCATGGGAAGAATGTGTCAAGATGTAAACAATTTGTTCCTCCAAAAAAATGTGTTAATAACTGCAATTATGTATAATCAATGTCAAGCACCACTAATTTACTAACTCCCTCCCTCCTAGCTAAGCGGTTAACCTTTGCATTTCCAAGGCCTTCAAACTGAAGCTGATCTCATCTCATCTTTGCTTTGTTCTCTATGTATATAGACCCTTTCTCCACTTAAAAAGGAGCTTTGGTAGGATAGTGCATTTTGAGTCGGCCTGCTAACCTCAACATCAGCAGTCTGAAACTACCAACTGTTCTGTGGGAGAAAGATGAGGCTTTCTGCTCATGTAAAGATTTACAGCCTCGGAATACCTACACAGGCTCACTATGTGTTGGAATCGACTCCATGGTACACAACCACCACCATTCCACTTAAAAGTAGAGTGCTTAATAATTTTACTTGGTGCTGCCCAGCTGGAGCTGAATTAGTCCTCAATAAAGCACTTTTTCGTTCACTCCTAACAGAGTATGGGATTTTCTTATTTAACCGTGTCATAGAGCCCAGCTGTAGGTGAGAGTGTTGAAACAGAGAACAAAGTTCTCTCTCCTTCTGGCCATTCTCCAGAATATCTTTATTTCCCTCACTGTTATCAGAAAAATCAGAACATTCAATCTCATTTCTGTCATCCACCATTGATTGATGGGTTTGGATGTATAACTGACATCTCACTGGCAGAAACTACAATTTCCTCTCAGCATTTTCCTCTGGGAACCCACACAATCCTTTCTGAATCCAACACTGAATCACTTCCAAAGTAATTTGCTTAGCAAACGTAAGCTGTTTTCAGCTTGAGTTCACCTTTCTAACCTTCAAATATTAAAACTCATTCTACAGAAAATGATTCTGGGAGTCTAATCAAGATGTTTGCTCTCTGTTCTGATAGGTTGTTTCTCTTGATCATGTTTGTATGTTTCTTTCAGAAGACATTGGCTCCAAGATTAATTGACTTCCAATGATATCTCCATTTCTTAATTCCTCATTTTAGACAAGAAAAATGGATTCCAAACTGACACAAGAGAGCAATCCTAATGTTTGTTTTTTTAATGAAGCAAAGATTTTTTAATGAAAGCATTTAAATCTCCACTGAAATGAGAATTTTTTAGCCATCACAGCATGAGGTGACAGGAGAATACAGGTTTTTATGTTCATTAATACAAAGTTCACAACTTATCTTTATCTCTGTAAATGAAAAAGTTTCAAAGTGGAGGCACTTGTGTCAGACATAAAAATGATGGGGCCAACATGCATCTAAGAAGCAAAAGGTCAAATGTAAACCATTTGTTCATGGGAAGAATATTTCAAGATGTAAACAGTTTGTTCTTAGAGAAGTGTGTTCATGACTGCAATCATATATAATTGAAGTGACTGGCACCACTCACCTAGGATTCATTCTAGTAAAATGGTTGACCTTAATAACATTTCAAAGCTAAAACTGATCTTATCATTAATTAATCATTTTCTCCATACCTTTCCTTTGTTTTCTATGTACATAGCCCCCTCTCTTCACTTAAATGATCTAGTACTTGGTAATTTTGCTTAGCACTACCCAGATCAATATTCCACTGTACACACACACCCCCACCCCCACCCCCACCCCAGATCAAGCTGTATTGCTCTTCAATAAAACTATTTTTCTTTCACTTCTAACAGGCTATGAGATTTTCTTCTTTGACATTTCTGAGAGTTCAAAACAAGATAATGAGATTTAGTCTGTAAAAGAACATTTGTTGGTGTTTAGTAATAGGTAGAAATTTCTGGTGGGAGAAAAAAACACAGTAGGCTTTGATAATCTAACACCATTTATTCAAACATTTATTAGGCATTTGTTTCTTATGCTGTGCATGGTCACCCAACAGCAGCACCAAATATGTCAGTTATTCTGATCAATTATATAGGAAATGCAGATGATATGTAAATGATGCTATGTAAAATATGTAAAATGCTTTCAATAAACTTGCAATCAAGTTGGAAGGAGAAAACCTCATATGCATTACAGTAAAAAGACATTGTTGTTTAAGCAATTAAAAATACATCTAGTCGGTTGTGTGCCATAGAGTCAGTTCTGACTCACAGTGACCCTGTTCAGAATTTTCAAGGCTGTAAATCTTTATGGTAGCAGAAAGCCTCTTCTTTCTTCTGTTGTGCAACTAGTGGATTTGAACTGCTGACCTT